TCGTGCCATTGGCCATAACATAAGCAGTATTCGTAATAATTTTGAGGAGTTGTCAAATAGTCATGGTTCAGTCGCTGTTTTATATACCTGGTCACGGAGCTGCTTGATCAAGTCTTTGCTCTGCGAATGCGCTGAACTCCTACCTGGGGTCGCACCCAGATGCTGGTCACCCGAAATTCCGGACTTTCTTGGTCGTCTTGCTGCGACCGCCTTCTCAGCTGAAACTGCCGAGGAAAGAGTAGGCGCGCCGCTCAGTTCAGTCGGAGTCGACGCGGGCGTCGCTGTCGAGCGTCAGGGACCGCGCAGGAATGAAGGCCAGGGCGTCCCGGAGGAGCTACCGCATCCCAGAGAGCCGACAATGGAAGGAGCACGCAGAAGGGCTTGGCTCAATATACCTCTCTACAGTGAGGATCGCCATTTGGCGTCTGCATCGGCAGGTCGGACATGTGTCATATCGTGTGCTGATTCGGCTCATGAGGCTGTCGCGAGTATCAACGGAGCGCATTGAAGCAGCAAAGCACCACAGGTGCGAGTGCTGTGAATCCACGTGCCGTTAGCTTAAATTTCAGAAGGTCGCTATGCCCCAGAAGTTCTGTTTCAATCATGAAGTTGGTATCGGCTGCATCGAGGTCGAGGACAACAGTGAAGACAGGTGCACCTTCATGAACATTATCTGCCAGGGAACTACGTTCTAGCGTGTTATATTCGTGAGCCGAAGTGGCGGCGCGCTATCCTGAAGGACGCGCCTCACGGCATTCCAGTAACATTGGTGTGCATGGGCTGGTCAATCCAAACGAATTGTGTTGGGTCGAGGACTACACAATTGATGTGTGCTTCCTACAATGGGTTAAGGGCCAAGGGGTCGACCTCCGTTGCGCAGGAGTCGAGTCCCCGCAGCAAATTGGGCGCGCTGAAAGGCACGGTGGTCTCTGGAAGAACGCATTGAAGGAAGTGGTTCGCGACGAGAACGTCATCGGACTTGATGAGGTAATGGAAGCAGCCGCAGAAGTCGACAGCGCAAAGGACGAGATGTCTCGAGTGGCAGGATTCTCACTGCCTCAAGGGGTTCTCGGACGACTACCCCGTGCGCCCGGAGGTCAATTCGACGACGATGAAGCCTTTGACGCTGGTGGGCCGGCTAACGTGGCTGAGGACTGATCCGCTGAGTTCTCTCGTCAAGCAGCGATTCGTGCTGCGTCGCGCATGACGTTTGCTGAGCGCGACGTCGGGGGTCGGACAGCCCGTGTTGAGCCCCGAAAGGCCGCGGCTCTAGCAGGTGAATATCAGGTTGGTTATGTGGCGCGCCTTCGCAAGAGACCAACTGCGAGCGAAGTCGCAGCCGAGTGGAGTGCAGGCTCTCGAGCCGTTGGGCTCGATGGCGAAAATGCGTGGGTCATCGCCGAGGGGTTCCAGTTTTCGTCGCGATGGACAGACTCCGTCCGTGTGCTGCGGTGGGGGCTCGTGCGCACCAATATCTTTCTCGACGCCACAATGGCGACTTGGGTTGTTGCGCCTCTCCGGACAATCAGCAACAATCCTTCGTGGACGAACGCCGAGATATACCAGGGATCAAGGGACGTGATGGTCAACGAGGAGATGTATTGCCTGCCGCCCCAGAAGATACCATGTTAGAAGCAGCAGTGGAGGACTCACCCCGCTGTCCAGGTGGATGACATGAGCGACGAGGCCCAAGGTGATTGACTACTCCCCCCAGACGAGCGACAAGCGCCACGGCCGCCGCGAGTAATCCGCGTGCCATTGCAGAGATCCCCGCTGGTTGATGTGCCTCACGGAGAACGCGGTCGTAGTGAGGTGATGCGTAGATGACTCGCGGCGCGTGGATCAGCACCAGCTGCTAGAAACACACCCAGAGATGCTTCGCCAGACTCATTGTCGGATCCAGGACCCGAGCCAGCAGTCCGCTGTTCGAGACGTGACGTAGACGCGGTACCACGGGCGAAGGTGTGGAACTACTGCAGACCAGGACAGCCACCATAGCAGTTAAACCACTTTTGGTACATCATCGAGAATCAGAAGACGTCGAGAGCGGGTTGCGACTCGTGAGACAAGACGAATGGGGAAGGTGAAGAAAGGTCAATGCAGCAGTGCCCATAGAGCCTGGAGGTCTACAGAAATTCTTGGGCGAAGGTTGGTCCTGGCGCAATGGCTTGTGATATTTGTAAGAACGGACATCTTCGCAGTCGGGGTGTGCCGCTTGTTGCGCCGCAGTGCGCGAGCAGACTGGTTGTGCGAGGAGATTTAGAGGGGTCGCTTGGGAGCTGCGCGGATACCCCGACATGTGAACTTGAAGGTTCAAGGCTGATCATCGAGCGGTTGCATGAACAATGAGATTCAGAAGCGTGGCGACATTACATCCGTATACTTCCATAGACGAGAACTCGACTGTCTCATGTTGCTCAAGCCACCGCCAGACGGATTAGAAGGAGCCCCGGAGGGCGGGGCGTTCATCGCCCTTGGCCCCGTGGACAGAACCCGTGACGTGGGTAGAGGTTCATGAACACATGGATGGGTTAACGTTTCAAGGCGCATGTGAAGAGAAAGAATCGCACCTCGCCAGCTCATTCTCAGCGTTGCAGGTGGCGAAGGTGAAGCCGCGTGCATGTTGGGCGCCCATGTAGATGATATCTCGTGGGCCGTGGACGACGAGGGCCCGGGGCATATGGGCGCACTATTCGCAGAGCTTGATAGTCGAGCAGTTCCATCAGGAGACTTTTGCCTTTGTGGATTGGGCAAAGTCAAAGGCGCGGCTCCTGCCGTTCATAGCAGTGCGAAGGATGGCATTGAGAGGATTCAGGCTGTATCCAATCCCAGGGAGAACCCCCCTCACCAGGAAATGCAATGATGGAGGTGTTTCTCAACCCTGGTCAGTCGTTGGCGCTTTGTCGCGATTTGCCCGACAATGCAAACCTGAGTTGCTTTATCCCGTGGGTCGACTGCAGACTGTAGTGCATCGCGCAGCGGTGCTCCATCTCAAAGAAGCGAATCGCGTCGAGGGGTTGCAGTCTTCAGACAGTGGACTTGTGACCAAGGGGGGATCAGTCAACTTGGGCAAGGATGTGGTAGCTCTGCGGTTGCCGACGCCAGCTGGGCAAGAGAGGCCGACATTGTCAAGGGCCAGCTTGAGCCACTCAGATCTCAGAGGGCTAGGTTCAGCGGTCTTGCTGGACCCGTGTTTGTCGAGGGGAACAGTGATTTCGTTCGCCCCATGGCTGTCGAGTAAGGTCATTCGGCGCGTGTGTAAATCTACCCTCCAGGCGGGGGCCTTGGCGCGTCTCTGGGGGGTAGAACCGGCTGTGCGCATCCTCGCTGCCATCGCTGGCGCTCATGGTATGTTTGGTACCACGCACAAGCTGCCTTCATATTTCGAAGAGAGTTCTTCCATGACGATGAGGGATCTGTGGATGACAGATTGCACAGGCCTGGAAGAACACTGGAATGCGCCAGCTATGGGACACATGCAAGATACACGCTTGAGTATTGGTCTCAGTAGTGAACGCCAAGATTTGTGGACTCGTGGACAAGAGGAAGGTGATATCTTACACCGTAGATGTTTCTTTGGCAAGATACGGTTGATCGATGCCAGCATTTTGGTAGTGGATTACCTCGCCAAAAAAAAAGCAGCTGGCGAGGGCCAGACTGAACACTACCACAGGGGATATGTCATATCCGTAATTCGCATTATCCCGACATGGAAAATGACGGCTGTATGAACCCTATCCCGACATGGGGAATTGACAGCGCTGGGTGAACGCCATCCTGCCTAGGATGTAGCACTGGGCCAACAGGCGGCCGTTGATCTGCTCGCTCGGGGACGCCTTTGCCACCTCCTGCTGCCCCTTGACGGCCTGCGAGTTTGTGGGCGCGATACGCCGCGCCCAGCTGGTCAGCTCGTGACAAAGCTTCACGGGTTGTCACGTACGTGCGCCATTCGCTGCCGTTTGACCCTCCAGGGGCCCTTTTTGCCAAGGCACAAAAGCATCAGACATCACGATCGTGAGGGTGATGGCGATGATGATGATGGTGATGATGGTGGTGCTGATGGTGGTGATGGTGGTGGTGACAGTGATGGATGGTGATGGTGGTGATGATGGTGGTGATGGTGGTGCTGATGATGGTGATGATGATGGTGATGAGGAGGAGGAGGAGGACGATGAGGAGGACGGAAGTCAGCCGAAGGGGATCTGCTGAAAAGGTTTTGCCATAGTGGGATCAGCCGATGGGGTCCTGCCGCTGTGGTCGTGCCGACGAAGGGTCTGCCGAAACAGACTTCGCCTGAAGCAACCCACCACCAACACATATTCGGGTCGTGCCACAGGTGGGCTAAGCATGGATTTTTGCCATGATTTGCGCAATTGTCTTGGTGGCGTCTTCGTATAGGCCTTCCTCTCGCGTTTCCGAGCCAGCGGCCACAGATCTTTTTTTTTTTCCTTTCCACCACGTAACATGAATTAGGGGAAACCTGGGAAACAACGCTGCGCTGGTATATTTTCTAGCGCGCGCTCGTGCAACTGCTCATGTGCCTGCGGACACACGGCTTCATTTACTCACCATGTAACAGAAACAACGGGAAGTGGCGATGTAACTGGTAGGCACCCCGAGGAGTTAAAACACTGACGAGGGTTTCAAATGCAAGCGTGGACAGTTTGGTCATTCTTGTGCCGGGGCTCTCGAGTGATGATTTGTGACCAACGCAGTGCTTGCACCCTCCAGAGTGAGTCGCCACCTGTGCTGCAGGAGGAAGAAGGACAGAGGGGAGGAGGGAGGATGAGGAGGGAAAAGGATGGGGAGATGCAGTGGGAATTTGTTGCCACGCTTGCTGGCGCGATGCTGGCCCCACGGTCAAGAGCGTACACGCTGCGTCGGGCAGGCATGTGGATCCTCGCAGTCGGTACGGAACGCGCTTTGTGCCAGACACTTGCCCAGCTTTAGCAGTTGGCACGATCAAGAGAGCGTTCTTTTTGTCTCCCCACGTCGGCGAGGTACAAGTGCGCTGCCGCCCCGGAGAACGACCCTAAGATGGACCTCTACGGCTGCTCGAACACGTGTTCAGTCGTTAACGACCCCATCTTCCCATCGGCCACGACGCTGGAAATGAACAGGTTCATATCCCCCGGCCCGACAAAATGACTACTGCTGTTTAGGTCGTCTACTGTTTCCTCCTTCGCCTTCTCCATTTATTTCTCGGTGCTGCTCATCTGCCTCTTGCTCCCTCGTTTTTCGTTAATGTGAAATTGTGGCTAACGAATGTTGCCCCCCCCCCGAGGCTGATGAATAGACCCCGCGTGGCGCTAGATTAATTATTGACTTACGCGCGCCAGGGGGTCGTCGCGGGCGCCGCCGAGGGGATCGTGTACCCCCCACTGCGCTGCAGCTTTACAGCAATGGCGTTTTCGGATCGAAATTGTAATGGGGATCGTGTACATCCGAGGAAATCTTTCCCATTGTCATGCTGATTACTGACGTACCGCAGTCGTCGTCGTCGTCGTTGTCGTCGTCGTCGTCGCCGACTACTGCGGGTCTACGCAGCCCTCCGTGAGGCATCCGAATTGTGTCGTCGTCGTCATTGTCGCCGTCGACGTCGTCGTCTCCGTTGCCGCCGCCGTCGTCGTCGTCGTCGTCGTTATCGTCGTCGTGGTCGTCGTCGTCGACTACAGTGGGCGTATGGGCCTACGCAGCAGCAGCCCCCTGTGGGCATCCGCAGGGCGTCGGACGACGACGACGGCGACGGCGACGGCGACGGCGACGACGACGACGACGATGATGACAACGATGACAATTACGGCGGCCCTACGCAGTACTCGTCGCCTACCCCCCATCGGGCATCCGCGGTGCGTCGTCGTAGTGGAGAAGGGAAGGGGGAAGGGGGGAAAAGGAAACGCAGGAACCGTTGCCGTCAGCCTCTGCCGCTCCTCGCCCCTCTTCGCTTCAATATTTGTAGCCGTGTCGGCACCGCCCGTAAGCTGTAAAGTACCTCTTCCTTTCGTTTTTTTTGTTCTGTGTCTGTCGCCATCTTGGCCCTACCGCCCCTGTAGCCATGTAGCCATGTAGCCATGCAGCGGAGGCGCCGCTGTCCCCCCGCTGAAACGGCGCCGCTTGCGTCGTGCCTGTCGCCCTCCACCTGGCGGCCAGGGGTCGGTGCTAAATCACCAACGCTGCCGTGGTGTGTTTCCAATAGGCGGGCGCCCCCCCGCGATTCGCTCGAGCAAGGATACTTTTTGAACTCACGCGCCTTGCTTGTTTTTGTTTAGTACAAACTGACATTATCGTGTTATCCCAGTCCTTACCTGTAGTGACCGTTTCTGCCCCGTCATCCGATGAGCATGACCGCGATCTGGCATGTATGGTCGATTTCAGCTGGACCAGGACGTGCGCAGTGGAGCTCACACCGCTCCATCCGCAGACTTTGAAGCATGGAGGCCTGCTCACGCTTATCCGAAGTGGTTTTCGCTGCTTGTCTTTTTGCGGCTTGGTTCTGGGGTTGCGCACTGTGGCTTTGCAGCGCGCGGCTGCTCTTTTCGATCCGTGCATCTCTGCTCTCTGCGACTCTGGTTTAGTCTCGTGCCGCACTGCATCGTTTTGTCGCTTTGCTCTGGCTTTGCTCCGCCCCGCCCCGCCTGGCTCCGCCTTGCGTCCCGTTCGGCAGCCAGGCCTCTCCCTCGCACTGCACTGACTGAGCCCGGCTCCTTTCTGCTCTGCCACCCCCCTCGCCGTGCCCCGCCCCTGCCCTGCGGGGGGCCCTGCGGGAGACGTGCCCGCTCCGCGTCACTGCGCGTGTTCTGCGCTGCGCCCGACCCCGGCGGCCCTCGGCGCGGCCGGAGGCCGCCGAAGACCGGCCGAGGGCCGCCGTGCCGCTCCCGGGCCGCGCCCGAGAGCGCCTGGGCCTCGCGTGGGCGGTCCCCGCTTCGCCCGGCGCCGACTCCCCGCGCGTGGAGGCCAGAGGATGAGGGTGCATGAGGGACGAGGCAGCAGAGACGGGGAAGAGGGAGCGGATGATGATGATGCTGATGATGATGCTGATGATGGGGATGATGAGGATGATAATGATGCTGCTGATGATGATGCTGCTGCTGATGATGATGATGATGGTGATGATGGTGAAGTTGATGATGCTGATGATGCTGCTGATGATGATACTGATGATGATGATGATGTTGATGATGATTATCATGATGATGATGATGATGATGATGATGATGATGATGATGATGATGATGATGATGATGATGATGATGATGATGATGATGATGTTGATGATGATTTTGATGAGGAAGATGATGGCGGTAACGATGAGGATCATGCTGATGATGGCGTTAGTAGTGGTGGTTCTGATGATCATGATGGCGGTGTTGCTAATGATTGTAATGATTGTAATGATTGTAATGATGGGTGATGGGTGATTGGTCTGGGATGATGGGTGATGCGTGATTGGTTGACGGTGATAGCGATCGACGGCGATGACATTCATGTCGGATATCTTGATCATGACGGTCTTGATGGATGATGGATGATGGATCGTGCATTGTGCTTGGTTGTTTGTATCGATGATGGCGATGACGACCAGAAGGCAGGTGGTGATGGTGACGGAGGTGGCGGAGGTGGTCAGGGTGATGATGGTAGCTTATGTTTGGTTGCAGCGACTCATGGTGGTAGTGGACGATGGTGATGGGGCGTAGACGTATCCTCAGTGAGCTTATGTGAAATACACTCTTCTGCAACAGCGCCGTGATGACGAGTGGCCCCGCCACACAGCGCCCTCTATGGATGAGATGGATGCCCTGCGATCTTTGCTCGATCATACAAGGCGGTCGCACAGTAGCAATGCTCAAAGGGACCCCTTGTAGGCATACAGAGCCAGAAGCAGCAGCGGCAGGCCTGCGTCAGTACTAGCACAGAGCAGCACGAGCGTCCGAGTGTCTTGCATTCTTAGACTCAGGTGTTAGTTCACAGCTCATGAGTATAAGTGATTGCTGCTTGCGTTTCAGGTGGTGCGGATATGGTGATTAGGCTGACGTGTAAGAGGAGGCACGATGATGGCGGAGGAGTCGCAGGAGGGATGGGGAAGGAGGGCGGGAGGAGTGCTGGACGGGAGTGGAGGAGGAGGATGAGGAGGAAAAGGAGGAAGATGACGGCGGAGAAGGAGGCAGGATGGAGGGAGGACGACGGGGATGGATGGAGGTGGGAGGAGGGAGGTCGAGGGGTAGGATGAGGGACGGACCCAGAGCAGGTGGAGGCGAAAGACAGGAGGCGGAGGAGGGAAGTGGGAATGGAGAAGACGGATAAGAAGGGATTTGGCGCATAGAGGGGGGGGGAGGGCGTGAGGGCGGGGGGGGGGGACGCGGAGAGCAGGTTCTGCTTCTACCACTGCACCCCCACCGTCGGGGGCAGCGACTCCGCGGTGGCCGCCGCCATGTCCAACCAGCAGGGCTCGTCCATGTCTAGCGGAGGCCTCGACTAGAGGAGGTGATGATGATGATGATGATGATGATGATGATGATGATGATGATGATGATGCTGATGCTGATGCTGATGATGATGATGATGATGATGCTGATGCTGATGCTGATGCTGATTCTGATGCTGATGCTGATGCTGATGCTGCTGATGATGATGATGATGGTGGTGGTGGTGATTCTGATGCTGATGCTGATGCTGATGCTGATGTGATGATGATGATGATGATGATGATGATGATGATGATGATGATGATGATGATGATGCTGATGCTGATGATGCTGATGATGATGCTGATGCTGATGCTGCTGATGATGATGGTGGTGGTGGTGATTCTGATGCTGATGCTGATGCTGATGCTGATGATGATGATGATGATGATGCTGATGATGATGATGATGATGATGATGATGATGATGCTGATGCTGATGTTGATTCTGATGCTGATGCTGATGATGCTGCTGATGATGATGATGATGGTGGTGGTGGTGTGATGCTGATGCTGATGCTGATGCTGATGCTGATGCTGATGCTGATGATGATGATGATGATGCTGATGCTGATGCTGATGCTGATGCTGATGATGATGATGATGATGATGATGATGATGATGATGATGATGATGATGGTGATGGTGGTGGTGGTGGTGGTGGTGATGGTGGTGGTGGTGGTGATGATGGTGGTGATGGTGGTGGTGATGATGATGATTCTGGTGGTGATGAGGATGATGGGAGCACAGGCAGGAAGCTATACAGGAAACCAAACGAGGGGACATACGGAAGATCATGTGGAAGACCACGAACCATTAGCCTCGGTTTCTTCATGTCGAGGAATCCACAGGTGCCTGGAACAATACATCAGACCTTACAGACAAGTCTATCTGGGCACCGTGCACCAATTGCGATGCAGGAGGGCGTTCGTGTGTGTGAGAGTGTGTAAAATGACACTTCTTCGAACTGATGTGGGCAATGAAAGTTTTAAAGAAAGTAGCAGCTGCTCGCGTGGAGGGTGGTTCATTGTCAAAGTGAACATGAATAGCCAGACGTGAGTTTTTGTACAACACTCGCGTGGGTGGGGCACGGTTCCTGTTCCACACGGGGTTCTCGCAGGACATGCCGCTTAACTCGCTCATCGCACTTTCCCGCATTCAAAACGGGGCTCTCGCCAGAATGGCCGGACCATCGGGTGCTAGTCTTTGAAGGGGTCGCTCCTGGAAGCGAAAAGGAAAGCTTGGAGGCACTGGTGGGGATAGGACTTGGCACGGAGGTGGGTCTTACAGCACCGTTGATGCATCCCGGTTGGTCCGCGTCCTCTTCCTTCTCTTCTTGTCTCCCTTTCCCCCCTTCTCCTCCTCCTTCCTCGTCGCCTTTCTGTCGTGGACGCGGATGCATAGCTGCATGGGTGGCTTCCCACGTGGTGCCCCGCTGGGGCTCGGTCGCGCGTCGCATCCCCCCGAGCGGGCAGTGCCGCGGGCCATGGCGCCCCCCCCCCCCTGCGCCGAGGCAGCCTCGTCGACTCGCCGTGCGTGTCGCTGTCCGGGGACGCGCTGAGAAAGGCGTGGGCGCGCGGGTTGCCATCAAGGAGAGGAGACGTCTTCGCTCTGCAGGGGCCCTTTCCCATCACAGGGGCAGTCCATAACATGACCCAGGATGAGAAGTTGGTCACGAGGGAGACTGGGGTTCAGTAAAAAAGGGTCCCGAGGTCGTATCGCCGTCGTCCGCCTCCGTGGGCCCCTCCCAGGTAAGTCGGCCAGTGGTAATTGACGATTTCCTTCTCTTGAACTCGGTTTCCCTTGTAGACGACCGACAGCATCTACATGATGTTATCTTTATTCCGCTAAGCTAGTCGCGTACGATAGTCAGTCCACACCTCCGTGCACATAAGCTCACGCTGGTAGTTCTCAAACGTCTTGAGTCAAGCAAAGAGAGGCTCCTCACATCAACCTAACGACGATGGTGGCAGCGCGGCGACGGCAGCACCAGAGGGTACTGTGCCCGAGTACCTTGTACGGGCCTGCACACACGATGACAACGCTGCTCTCAGCCTGGAGCAATTCGTGCGGCAGGCACTCGAGCAATTCGTGCATAGTTCCGTGATGGGCGAGTAGAGCACCTTGCGAGCAGCAGTGGGTGGTGGGCCGGGTTTTTGTTTGGTGGATGGTGGGGGTGGGCGTTCCCCACGTAGCTTTGTAATAGTACACCCTCGCATCGCAAGCGCCCCCTCGCGTGCCCGAGCTCCGCCGTCTCCCCCCCTCTCGTTCCCCGTGGATGTCTTCGCGCTGCTGCGCCCGGGATCGTGCCCCCGGGGCCGCTTCCGCACGGCCCCGCGGCCCGGGCTTTTTGCCTCAGGCCGGGCATGGCCAGCACGCGCTCCGCGAGGGGGCCGAGACCCGGGCCTCCCGGGCTGCGCCCTGGCCAGACCCCGTGGCGGCGAGGCGCCGCGGAGCTCCGAGCCGCGTGAGGGGCGGCCCACGGCAGCGATCTTTTGACCGGTCCTCGAGCCTGCGATGCTGCGAGCCTTCGGTCCTCCCTCCTGCGATCCCTCCTTCGAGCCTTCGATCCTTCGAGCCTTCGGTCCTTCGAGCCTCGAGCCTTCGATCCTTCGATCTTCCCTCCTCCGACCCATCGATCCTCCCCCCCTCGATCCTCGATCCTGCGATCCCTCCTTCGATCCTCGACCTCGCCCGCAGCACCGATCGTCGATCCCTGGAGCCTCGAGGCTCGCTCCTCCCGACGGGGCGAGGCTGGCAGGCGGCCGCCGACGAGGCCGGGCGGTCGGGCGGGCGAGCCCCGCAGGGGGGCGCCGGGCAGCAGGCCCGCCGGGGCGCAGGGAGGTGGTCGTCTCCTGACTCATTGCTGGACCGATCGGCGCGGGCCCTCGCCCCCCCCCTCCCCGTGGCCCCACATCGGGAGCGGAAAAGAGGGGGGTGATGACTAGGGGGGGTGGATTTCATGGCGCGGGCCATGATTTTTCCTGAGATTTCATGGCGCCTCTTCTTATTTCATTACGTCCCAGGCCCCCCTGCTGGGCCGCGCACATGCCGCCGGTCATGATTTGCACCCCCCCTCTTGGACACCCCCCTCTTGGCCGCTCCCGACCACAGGGAGCTCCACCGAAGGCCCCAGCGGCAGGGTCCGCACGCGGCGACCGCCACCCATTTTGGCACACCCCTCACGAAGATGGTGGCCCCCCAGGGAGCTCCACCGAAGGCCCCAGCGGCAGGGTCCGCATGCGGGGACCGCCACCCATTTTGGCACACCCTTCACGAAGATGGTGGCCCCCCAGGGAGCTCCACCGAAGGCCCCAGCGGCAGGGTCCGCATGCGGGGACCGCCACCCATTTTGGCACACCCCTCACACGGTTCGTGGCCCCACAGGGAGCTCCCCCCCTCCACCCTGGAGGAGAAATTTTTGGCCGCTTTTGGCGCCCGTCTCGAGCTCCCCCATTGGACGCGCTGCTGCAGGCAGTCGCGATAAGCAGATGTCCGGAACCAGACCCCCCTCCCCTCCCCCACCCCTTCCGCCCAATGTCGAAACGCCGAAGAAGAAACCGTTCTCGAGGGGGAGGGGGGGGGCGAGCAACCCTGACTCGGGGGTGACGGCAGGGGTGAGCATTGCGCGCATTCGCCCAGGAGCCTCGCCGAAGGCACGGACCATGGGCACCCTTCGACACGTGTGCTGCTTTCCCCCCTGGGCCACTCGCCCCCGTTGTCGCCCCCTGCAGACCCCCTCGCGTCGTCGCGGGAGGTTTTTGGGCGTCTCGGGCCTCTTGGGGCCCGTGCCGTCCCAGAAAATGGTCGAAGGAGGGCATGGGGCGGGGGCGTCCAAGAGAGGGAGGCAATGACCAGTGGTGTGTGTGTGTGTGTTGATTCAAGCTCTGCGCGGCCCGCTTAGCTTCGAGCGGAAGAGGTGCGCTCTCGACCCGCGAATCAAAACAAGTTTGTGTGTGTGTGCGTGTGGATCACTGCTGGGGCCATGACATCTCCTCGATGTTATGGCCTCCCCTTCCTCCTGTTACTTCCACACCCCCTGGCCCCGACTAGTCCGCGCACGTGCCCCGGGCCACGCTGCGCCCCCCGCCTCTTCCCGATCCCGCGCTTCACGATCGGGGTGCGAGGCCTCCGGGCTCCGCGTCGTCGAACAGCTGCTCCGTCGGGGGTCGGGGGGCAGGCCATCTCCTCGGACCACAACGGCCAGGACACGCCGGCGTGCCGCCTCATCGAGGTGTCGTTGAATGTCTCCAGCGGTTCTTGGGCCCCTGAGGTCTTTCTCGTCGCCGCGGCTAGATTTCCGTCGGATTTCTAGTGATATGGATCTCATGAGTGGTCTGTGGGCTGATTCACTCGTTCTTGTTAGTCGTCTTCTTAGTATCGAAGACGCCTTCGGCGAATCACCGCCTCCGTGGCCAAGCGTTGGACCCCAGCTTGGCCAAGCCATCGGACTAATTGTTCCCCCAGCCGTTCTGGAAACTCTTTGGGGAACACTTGGAGGAGGATGAGGGGGAGGATCAGGAGGGAGGAAGAGGAGGAGGAATCGGAATAGGGGGAGGACCTCTTGGGCCGTCTCGGGCTGTCGGAAGGCCGAAAAGACGCTGATGCCGAAATCCTTCAACAACCTTGCGGGAATCAATGATTTTTGCCTCTTCGGGGGGCCTCTTGGGTCATTCTTGGGCGCTCCTGGGAGCTTCCTAGGGTTTCTTTTGAGGTCTCTTTGGGGCCTCCTTCGGGCTCTTTGGGCCTTTGGGGGCTTTTCGGGGGCCTCTTTGGCCGTCTTGGGGCGTCTTAGGGGCTTCCTGGGCCGTCTTGGAGGCTTCTTGGGCGGATTTGGAAGCATCTTGGGCCCTCTTGGGCCGTCTTGGAGACCATCTCGGATCCTCTTGGGCCGTCTTGGAGGCCATCTTGGACCATTTTGGGCGAACTTGGAGGCCTCTAGGGGCCGTCGTGGTGTCTTCTTGGGTCGTCATGAGGTCATCTAGGAAGACTTTGGGGGCCATCTTGAGGCGGTCTTGGGAGCCTCTTGGGCCGTCTTGGGCTGTCGGAAAGCCGAGAAGACGCTTATGCCGAAATTCTTCAAAAGCCCGAGGGAAATCAGCGATTTTGGCCTGGGCCCTCCTGGGACCTCTTGGAGGCCTCTTCGGCTGTCTTGGACGCCTCTTGGGGGCCTCTTGGGCCGTCTTAGGTCATCCTGGAGGCCTCTTGGGCGGACTCGGGGCCATCTTGGACCCTTTTGGGCCGGAGGCCATCTTGGGCCATCTGGACCCCACGATCGCGATTTTGTGATGATGTCCCCAGCGAGACGCCCGTTGGGGAGGCGCGGCAATCACCTTTTCCGGGAGGCCAGCGGCGCGGTCCAGAGGCCCAGGGGAGAGTTCTTCTAAAAAGAGAGCCAAAACAAAACCAGTAGGGTCTAGCACGCCAGGCACCCGTCTATGAATCAACAGGGGGCGGCGGATCTCATGTCCTTCGGCCCATCTCGCCACCGAGCCTTGGTTGTGGGTGTGAGGCCTATTGGATGTTCGTTGGGATCACGTGGGAGGCCTGTCGCGGGGCGTGGAGGCAGGTTGAGGCCTCTAGGGGGCCACATTGGATCGCGTGGCGGCTTCGCTTGGACGTCCGCCCATCGGAAACGTAATTCATGCGCTGGAGAGAGTATGTATTATTTTAGTTGCTCAGAGTTTCAGTTACTTCCGTAGCCGTGTGGGCCCAAGTCTTGTTGGCGCACAACGCATTCGGCTCTTGGATTGCCAGCGTGCTCCCGAGCTGGATTCGAGTCGCCGTTGTCGGTGAGTCGCCCTTCCACTGGATGGTCCGCGAACGCGTCGCTGTAGGTCGTACTTGAGCGACTAGCAGTGTGCCTCGGTTTCGCGCGTGTGCAGCAGATGGAAGGCTCCCGCATGCTGGAGAGAGCAGGAATCGTGGCGGTTGCCCTCTCATCAAAGGTGACGGCCCTGGCGTCCCAGGGAAAATACAATCAATGTGTAGCCGTCTGCACAGGCAGATTCCTACTGACGTCGACGGTGCTCGCGGTGCCCGCGCTCTGCTTGGGAGTGAACCCCACCGCGGTCTTCGCCACGCTGGCGCCATATTGTTTTTTGGGGCAGATGCGTGGGCGCAACGCGCAGAATTTCCGACAGAATGCGCGAGGCTTTCGCGTTCTCCACCGTCTCATGGCACAAGCGTGGCACGACGTCACCAAGCCTCAGGCTGAGCGCGATGGTGGCGCCAGAGTTGACTTGCCGCATTTGGGCGATGAGGAGCGGGAGATCTGGGAGAGCGCGAAGCCGGACCGTGAGCTTTTACCCGCGTGCCTGCCCGCAGCCAATGAAGAACAGCGACCGGTGGTCGCTTTTGAAGGGAAGCCCGCAGCAACTGCGCGAGCACTCATATTTTTGCGCCGCGAAGATGGGACAGCGATTTGCTTGAACCCCTGTTGACTTACATCGGGATTGAAGAGGTGAATTTCGGTGGAGTGGGTTAAGAGTGGATGTGTTAGACTTGCCGCAAGGGTGCATGAGCATCGATGTCGCGTGCGTGGACTTCGCCCAGGGGACCCGATATCGCAAGGGCACTTTCGGGCGCCGCGGCGCGCAGAACTTCGAAGTTTTCTTGGGACATGTGCGCGATGTGGTTGAAGACTTTGGCGGAGAGGAAATCGAGGGGGTCTGGGGCGTGTTCCGCTTTGCTGAAGTCATGGCGGATGTTCGAAGTTACGGTCCTCGCGCAGAAACTGGTCGGTTTGTTTGGGATCGCGAACTTTCTGCGAACTTTTTCGAGCTCGGGTGCCCGCCCCTGCGTTGCTTGGATGCAATGGTTTCAGAGCGGTGCTGGTTGCGTGACTCGGAGTTGGTGCCTGTGCGCGAACGCTCAAAGCGCAGCGTGGTCAGTCTGCGCCGGGCGCGAGCGCCAGGTGATTCTCAACGCTCGGTGGTCAAGGCGCATGAGTGGGTGATGCTGATGCCTGCTGGGAGCTCGCAGGAGTTCACTGTCTTTGCGACTGATGCCGATGCAAGGGCCGCTGCTGTGCGGGGGCGCTGCGAGCGACTGGAATGTCTGACCAGGGAAGTGCCGCCGCCGTCGGACCTGGGCTGCTTGCCAGAACCGCGGCTTGGCTGGGCGGGCGAGGAGCTCGCCCGATGTCATTGACGGAATGGATGTCGACGCAGAGTGGTGCGCGCATGAGGCTGAGGCAGGCCCAGACCCGAGGGCCAGAATGCGTCGGATGCCAGCGCGGTGCCGACCAGGGGCCGCTGGATTCGCATCGTCGGCGCGCGTGCCGTTCCAAAGTGGTGCCAGCGGTGCCGTCTGACGCATGTCGTCTGCATGCCTCAACTGGTCCTGGGCGAGTACCTTGTCGGGCTTCTTGGCGGTGTGCCTCAATGGGTGCCCGGGAAGTGCCCGTTCAGATACCGCTTGAAGCGTGTCGTGTGTGCGCTGCAAGTGGCGCCGGGCCAGTGTCGCTTGAGGCGCGTCGTATGTGCGTTCCACGTCGTCCAAGGCATGTGCCGCCTGAGGCAAGTTCAGTATGCGCCTCAAGTGGTGCCGGACATGCGCGGCTTGAGGCGCGCTGTATGAGCGACGTTAGTTGCGCCTTTGGTGTGCCAGTTCAGGCATGTCGTTTGCTGGAGGCTTGTCGTCGGCGCGCCTCAGAAGTTACCGATGAAGTGCCTCTCATTCATGTCGTCTGCGTGCCTCAAGTGGTGCCAGTCATTTGCCGACGGGGCATGTCGCCTATGTGTCTCGTGTGGTGCCGGACAAGGACCCCTTGAGGCATGGCGTCCGCTTGCCTTGGGGGGTGCCAAGGAAGGACCATTGGCATGTCGTCTGCATGCTTGAAGCGGTACCATCGGCGCGTCGTCTGGCTGCCTGAAGTGGCAGTAGTGATTTCCCTGTTGAGGCGCGTCGTCTGCGTGCGTGGGGTTTTGCTGATCAAGAGCCAGCTGCGGCGTGTCGTCTGCGCGCTTCAGGTGATGTCGCGCAAGTGCCACGGGCTGCGCGCCGTCTGTATGAGCCAAGTGCTGCCGACCAAGCGCCAGTGGAGGCATGTCGCCTGTGTGCCTCGAGTGGTGCCAGTGAAGTACCGCGTGGATCATATCGCTTCTACGTCGCAAGTGGCGCCGGTCAAGTGCCGCTTGAGGCATGCCGCCATGTGTCATTTGTGCCATGTGGAATTTGAATCATATCGTCTGTGTGCCTCCAGTGGTGCTGCGCAAGTGCCTCGTGAGGCGTGGCGGCTGTTTGCGCCAAGTGGTGCCAGTCATGTCCTAGTTGAGGCGTGTCGTCCGTGTGCCCCGAGCGGCGCCCTCGAGGGCGAAGTCGTAGCGATGGCAGTCATGGAAAACAGCAGCGAAACAACGCCTTAGGGGCGCTCTGCAGTCAGCTGTTATCTGGCTGACGTCCCAGGCGCGGGCGGCGCAGCGGCCGGCCCGTGCGCGAGCGGCGCGGGCGTGCTTTGGGGTCGGCCCCCCTTAGAAACTCCTAAGGACTGAGGGCGCGAGGACGCGGGCGCGGGACGCGCGTGCCGAGGGCGCGAGGGCGCGAGGACTGCGGACGCGAGGGCGCGCCCACTCTGTGCCTAGAGGCGCCGTGGCGGATTCCTATAGGGAAGCCCTTGCGTCCTGTGCCGCCCCTGGCGTGGGCCGTTCGTGGGCGGCGCTGTTTGCCGGCGGTTTGCGCTCGCCCGCCCAGGCGGACGACGCGAAGCGCTTTTACGGAGCGAGAAGGTGATGGGGCATGCCAGAGGAAATTTGATAAATAATACATGAGAGATAAACTCGCGAGGGGCAACTGGCCCGCCATCGAGCGCTGCTGAGCGCTTGGCGGATGGCGGGAAGTGCCTTCTCGGATCGAGATGGCGATTGCAATTTCTTAGGCCGTGCCTTCTCAGGGCCCTGGCTCGAGCGATGTCGGGCGACAGCGGCGCGCCCGCGGGGTCGCGGGCCCCCGCGCGGCGTGCGTTCAGGTCGATGGTGAGACATGTTCCGCTTCGCCTGCTCCTATGCGACTTTGGTCAGCTGGGCGCGCCGGATTGGAAGGCCGAGCGCTCGGCGGCGGCGCGGCCGCCGCGGTGCCCCGCGACGTCCAGCGCCGAGCGTGGCGGGGGCGAGCCAGTGCAGATCCAGGGCGCTTCCTTCAGTACCTCCCGCGCCGCGCTCGCCAGAGGGCGGGCGACGTGCCGGGGCGACCGCCGAGCGCGTTGGGATGCAGTGGCGAACTGTTGCAGCTGGATCTCGCGCAACT